AAATAAAATTTTCCGAGATCTTTTATGCAGAAATGCTTAATTGACATTTTTCCGAGATCTTTTCTGTCTTTATTTCCTTCCGAGATCCATTCTGCTAATTTTCCGAGATCTTTTATTTTCACGTCCATTTTTATTTATTTTCAGGAATTAACTAGAATACATATCGGTAAGTTGATGAGTGAAAAATGCTAATACAATTCAATCTTCTCTTATCCAGATGTGATTGTGCACTAATTGCCTTCAGGATTACACTAACTGCCTTCAGAGCTGTCGCGATTCTTTCAACTAACCCCTCTATGGCTCCTTCTTCCCTGTATATAAGAGACGAAGAAGAAGAAGAAGAGATATTCTCAATAAAAATTTTCAAATTCAAAACTCTTCTTCTTCTCATACATTCAGAGAAGGAGTTTCTCATTAAATAAATTCAAACTATTTCTTCTTCGTCTTCGTTGTTTGAGTTTATGTAATGAGAAACTCCTTCTCCGAATGTATGGGAAGAAGAAGAGTTTTGAATCTGAAGATTTTTATTGAGAAGAATGTTTAAGAGAGCAAATGTTAACTTAAAGATTAAAGTTGAATAATGAAAAGTTTTAAATTTACTCCAGATTACAACTCCTTTTTCATGTAACCGAGGAACAGCAAATATTACTGATAAAATAAATTATTCATTAATATTTTAATATTCTTATTTTCTCTCTCTCTTTCTTAATCCACGACGCTTCGAAGTTTCAAGAATTTGTAGAATGTGCGGTAAGATCATCGAAGAAGAAAAATGTAATGGCGATGAGTCGTTACTAGGCCTGCAAAAGTTCAGCGTTCTCTTTGAACGTAACACTAAAGCACATTGGCGTTCCTTGAACGTCAACGCTAAATATGACCTGTTCTGAACGTGAATGCGAATGCTCTGATGAACGTTAACGTTATTTTATATGAACGGTGTTGATCTTGTGTGGGATGAATAGTATTGCAAAACGTTATATAGCAATTTCACCTAGTAGTATACCAGGTGAAACAGTTTTTTCCATTGCCAGTTATGTTTAGTGAAAAATCAACGCTCGTTTGTCACAAATGGGTTAGGATAACAAAGGAAAACGTATGTAGTTACTGTAATGGTTTTGACCAAGGAGCCTTGGTTCCAGTGCCGGAAAAACTAGTCTGCTGGTCAGAAAATCCGCGATCTGTTCTTGGAAGAATCAATGTCTTGATCAGACAATCAAGGGGTATCCTTTTTACATGTAATAATCTGGTCACTGCCATGAGCAGACCATCTGATCCTTCACTAGAGTTTCTGTTGATCAGACAAGACCAAGCAGAAATATATATGTTCTTACTACAGTACAAGAACAGAATTTTATATTTAATTCAGACGATATGAACACCGTAAAAAGCTCACGTCCACCAGTGCTTTAACGTTCACATTCAAGGAACACGAACGTGCTTTGGCGTTTACGTTCGAGGAACGAAACGTGAACTTTTGTTACGCACACACACACGCGTACACCCTAGTTGGAAACATCCTCTCAGGGACTTGGATTGGAACATCGGGATTCGGATACGCTTTTTATTCTAAGAAGAAATCTACTTTAGCAAAAAAAATGTTTTGAAATTAAACCCGTTGTGTTTTTAGGAAGAGTACGTGTGTTTCATTCGTACAAAGATGACCCATCAGAAGATATCATATTGTTAGATGGACACGATATTCGTTCACTTAGTACCAAATGTTACGTTCTCTATCTGGTTATGTTCAACATGAACCGATTTTATTTAACATCCGTATTAGAGAAAATATTGCCTATGGTAATAATGTTAAAGTTACAAGAAGAAATTGAAAATGTTGCAAGAATAGCAAATATACATGAATTCACCGTCAAATTACCTCAGGTGAGTATTTCATTGTATTTTGCAAGTATAAGTAATTCTTCTCTTTTTCTATTCATCAGTGTTATGACACATTCTGTGATGTCAAAGGATCACAATTAAGTAGGAAATGAAGAACAACGAATAAGCATAGCTCCAGCTTTTGTTCGTAATCGAGAAATAGTTCTATTTGATGAAGCAACGTATGCGCTTGATTCACAATCGGATGCCGTTTACAAAGCACAGTCTAACAATCGAACATCACTAACAATTGCTCATCGGTTACCAACGATACAACAGAGAGATAAAAATAACTGTTATTAATCGTGATAGAGTACATGACAAAGGTATACATGAACAATTATTTCATGGAAAAGGACTTTATTCATGTCTATTAATAACTCAAGAACAATAGCAGCATCATTTAGTCATGGTTAAGGAAATTTGTTTTCTTTCTTTGCGTACTCTTTCTGCTGCTTCTATCAGTATTCATCTTCTGAGACCACCACAAACTTTCAGTTATCTTCGTTTAGTAGTTTTCTAGAAATCTCACTTTTCAATTGGCTTGCTTACCACCCTCTGAAATAGCGTTTACAAAACGTTAAAAAATTGTTTTTTTAGAGTAAAATGACAAACTTTAAAAAATTCGTATCTCTTCAGTGAAAGATTATGAAGAACTAGGACTAGTCTTATTTTGTAGAGGATACGTTATCCTATTGTGCATCACATTTGTCTCAAAAAATGAAAAATTTTTCTAAAATGAGGAGTACACTCTTAAAATATTGTGAACTTCCAACGAAAAGCGAAAAATATTAAAAAATGACCGGAGAAGTTTAATTTGACTGACATTTTCTTTAAGAAAACAAGAGTAAAATTGAACTTATTAGATATTCCCAGATTTGCCTGCGATAGGACTATCTATTTATGTGATTTTAAACCCTTGTCTATGAGCTGTTGGATATGTGCTTTTTAGAGTGTCGATTTGGGACACATCGTCCGATAACTGCGGTACAAATCCATATATACGGAATAACAACATGAACAAAATCAAGCATTTATAATGGTGTTAGACGACAAACTGTTCTTCTAGTAGTCTTTTTTTAAATTTCTCTTTTCTTTTATGATGTTGTCTTTCGTTCGGTTTTATATATTGTTTTACTAGTTTCTTTCACAAAGCATTTACTTGTCTTGGTTTCTTAAAAAAAACTTTCTTTTCTTCTTTCATTCTTTCACTTCTTCAGTCCGACCAGATATAAATTTTGCTTTTTATTCAAAAATAAAACGACAACAGTCGTATTTATCTAGTATTTATCTTTGTTTTTTGACATTCTGGATTTAAAAAACAATGTCTACAAGATCTGGAGTACCCACTTCATGTTCTCCTAAGGTGGATACCCCATCGTATGTTTTTCCCCATAATCCACAATCGGGTTTACAAGCACCCATTTATCAATTGTTTGCTGGAATACAAGCTTTACCAGCTATGGATAAAATGGCAATGAGAGGCAGATGTCGGCATGAAACAGATCAAATGGTGTCATTTATGAAAGAAACATTTGACTTCGAAAACAAGCGAAATGCACAAGGTAATTCTGAATACTTTTTGGATGGTGTCAAAGCTTTTGAACTAAGAAAACCGATTAGCTCGATGTATAGAGGAACAGTAATACAATTTCCGTCAATGAAAATGAAGAAAAAACAATGTTTTTGTATGACAGTTGAAGAAATTCTACGTTGGCAGCAAACATTTCGGGTTTATGCAGATGCTGACATTTATAAGCATGACAGTAATGGGGACGAAAAAGCTTTATTGAAAAAATCATTGTCAGGTAAGAGAGGATAATTTGAATGCTTTTGTTGTTGTGCTGCTGGGATTTCCACTGATTTTAGATCTTTTTTAAAAAAGTCGAACAAATACTGAAGAAAGCTTTACAGTAAAATCAACTAATCCTCCACCAGTATGTCCAAAAGAGAACCTAAAAATGACTGGGCGACTAATGTTATGTTATAGAGCGCACTTTTCTGCTTATGAAATAATACTTTATTTGATTTGCCAAAGAAAATTGATTGAGAAATCAACCACAGAAGTAAAAGGGGACGATTATGACTATTTTTGAAGTAGTCAAAATTATCGACAAAGAAAATTAGGAAGGAAACATTTTACAAATTAATGTCATATATGCTTTTAGAGAGAAAGATAGAAGCTATCTGACTATCGGCTCAGAATTTTTTTACATGATATCTGTTGTGAGAAAAGTGTCCTCGAAAACTCTGTTTTTGTCGCCAATGCGTTACTGTTTAGGTCGTTTAGTCTGTTTTATTACTGGGCTAAGCGAAGTTTTTCCTCTTTATCGAATAAACTATCGTTAACTTTTCAGAGCGTTTTCAGATTCTTTTATCTTGCTTATTGACGGGGATAGCAGCAACGCACTGAACGGAGCCTCCCGAAATCGAATCGGTAGTTTTTATCTAAAATCACTTAAAAATATTTTGTTGTCAGAAAACGTTCTCTAATAAAGGATTTTATATGTTTCTACACAAATCCATCACATTCGAACTGAATTATATATTGATATCAAGCTAGAAGATAGGCTTTGAAAGGTTTTCCTGAAAATCTATACTACGAAAACTCAATCTAAAATATAGAAAAATGGTCTTTTGATTCTGATCGTGTTTTGCTCAAGTTTCAAAGAAAAATGATCAGTAGGGCTTTAAAAGACTTTGGGAATGTCTTTCGTTACTTTCTCATGTCAAAAAATATTATATCCCGTCACTAGTCAGTTTTCCCAAAGTGGTCTAAAGTTAAATTTTGGTAAGAAAAATTGAAAATTATGGGCAGAATTGTGACTTTTTCGAAAACTTTCCCTATGAGCGCAAACTTTTAAATCAATCCCATACATATTCTTCTAGAGGGTTTTACGGACTATCAATTACACTATAAACAGTATGTAATAAGTTTTGTATGGGTCAAAAAAACCCAAAACACGTTGAATAGCGTTGTTTCGTTACATCTTACTTGAATTGTTATGAGTATATCCACTTGGTCCCAAAAGGTTAAATCAACATTTTATACATAGTCTTCTAGGATTTTTCGCGTGCTATCGACCACAATAAAAATGGTTTATCACATGCCATCCGAGGGAAAAAAATTGATTTTCCTAGATAAGATGTTGATAACAACTGATGAGAAGTCAATATTTAAATTAAAAAGCCACTTTTTTAGCTTTCTAACCAAACTCTTACATATATTCTTGATCAGCTTGGCGAGCTCTATCAGATCGTGTCGAAACAGACATCCTTGTACGCTTTTCGTTTGATTTTTCTACCGAAAATAAAATTTCAACTGCAAATTCAGCATAAAAAGCACGAAAAACTATGTAAAGTTGAAAAAATGTGTAGATCTGCAGGAAAAGAAAAAAATTGAGGAGGGGCCGATTTTTCTAGGATTTTCAATCCCATATCCAGTTCTTTAGGAACTTTTCGATTAGTGCATTACGTCCTCCTATTTTTCAGAAAAATCTAGACTGCTCAACTTTATGAGCTGAATCTTTTACCATACATAAAACTAATCCCGTTACATGTGTTATAAAATTGCAGTTGTACAAGTAGCTGTCCTTCCGAGATATTCGATTGAAGGCAAAAAACGCCAGTGCATTACTTGCAATATTATCTTTATCCTTAGCACATGTTTATGAAGCACACGCTTTTAATATCGACCTACTGTGTCGTGTTGATAATCTTCACAGTGTAGCTCCATCTCCTCCAAATCAATAAAATCGCTACTGACAAACTTTTCTACCCTATAGGCAAATCTGCAGCTGGTAGAGAAGCGTTCAAAATGAAATTTGTTTGTCGTATATCTCAGAATCCTATTTTCATGGAGTTTGATGCCAAAGTTATTCCTCGGCAACTCAACGAATCATGGCCAAATAAGATTTATTTGGCTAGTGTCAGTGGCATAGATTTTGCCGGCAGGGAACATGATGTTGCAGATGTCGTTTACTATTTTAAAAATTGGCAGAAAGTGTTTGAATTAGGGAAAGATGGTCTTCCTCTTCCTTTTAATGGTCGAGATTTCCATCAAACACCGGCAAAAGTGAAGCCAGATATTGATAACAACCAATTATCTAAGGATCTATTAAAAATGGCGCGTGTTCGATTGACAGCATGTGATTTAGAAGGTATACAAATCGTCGTAGAAACAGGAATTGGTTTGGGTGTGTTTTCGGGAGAACATTTAGGTAATTGAGTGATGAAAAATATATTATTTATTTACCGCGCTATATTTATATAGGTATCAGTCATCAAGTAAAGCAATTATCCGCTAAAGCTCTCAAACAACTTTTGGAAGAAGATGATAAACAATTTCCAAATATTAAGGGTGTTATCTTATCACTACCGATATTCGTGAGAGATAAATATAATAATTTGGAAATTTTTCGACAGGAATTCAGTGATTACAGAGGGAGACTTCCTCTTCTGATCATCGACCAAGATATGCACAAAATTGCCGTCTACTGTGCTAAAATGAATTATATTGTAAGTGAGTTAAATCCAGCGGATTCACACGGTGTGTTTGGTGAATATTGGCAGAATAAAGGACCGGCTGTTGAGGAAAAACTAGCTCTGACAACCGCTGGACTATTAACTCAACATCATGCCGTAAATCTTCAAGTATTAGATATAAATCATTATCATCTACTAGACTTTTCAAAATAAAATGGTTTCCCACATTTTTTAAATAACTTTTTAACGGAAAGAGCCAAAACTAAGTGGTTTTCACTATTTCATAGAGCAGCTGCTAGGAAAGAGATCTGTGAAAAAATTAGGTCTGAGAGGTTGATTCGAACCTCTAGACTGCTCTCTTCAGAGAAAACTATTGGTGTGCATGAGAACCACACATGAAATCCACGTTCTAAACCAATTCATCAATATGATATATGCATCTTTTGTCAGTTATTCTTCATCACCTGATTCCAGTCAGAACACGTCACTGCAGGATTTTTATCAAGGAGGAAAAAGCATTTTTGGAATGGTAGAATAGGTTGAAATGGGTTGAAATGGACCAGAATGGACCAGAATGGGTCGGAGTGAACCACATTGATGTTGAGTGAGAATTTCTATTTTTCTGTAGGTATTCTTAAGGTCCTTGACCTGCTTCCTTCAGAGGGCGTTTTTTGACAATTTTTTCGATTTTCCATTTCCGACGGATTTACGTCAAGGGGAAAAAAGCGCATTCTGTCACTCCGTGGAGTGTTGAAATGCTCGGAGTGCCGTGGGATTAAGGAAACTTTATTGAACTGAACTGTCCCAGAAATCTCTGCTCCCCCAAGCAGAACAAAAAGGTTCTGTCTGTGGGAAAAGAATTCACAGAACAGAACATAATTGCCCCGTTATCAGGGAAATATTCCCAACAAAAGAACATGATTGTTCTGTTTTGGGGAACAATCCTGAGAGAAATATCATTATTTTATTCTAAAAGAAAACAACACACTTCGTCACTCCGGATCATTGTACGGAGCGCCGGAGTTAATTGTAATATTTCCGAAAGCCCTCTGCCCAACGTCTAGTTTTATAGAAGTCCATTTTGAAAGTAAAAACCAAAGCAGATTGCTATCGCCACTGATTATAATATTATATTTAAAATATTACAAGAAAACTTCAGTCTCAATCATGATATTGACGATTATTATGATTGTGTTTGAGATTTGGCACCAATGGAAATACTTATCAGTATCCTTTGCTTTTAAATCAACTCTAGAGAAGAAAACAAATAGTGTCTCTTATAGGGAGAGTATCGGCAATTCAGAATTCGAGGTTAATTTCTTTTTGAGGGATATATACATAGTTGGATAGAGTACATTGAGTTGAGCAAGAAAAGGGGTTTTTAATTTTTTAAGAACGAAAAAAGTCAAGAATTAGTCGATTGTTTTGTAGTCTATCGCTGTGCTAACGTTAACAGTAATAAAATTGATCGATTACAAAACTCAGTAGATAAATATGAGACAACGCAACGAACGGTTTTCTATCAACAAGTCGTTCTCGATATGTAAGAGACATATTTGCTGTTAGCACTAAAATGCCCGGAACTTTTCATGACCTAGAACGCTCAAAGCGGTCATTTTGACCATTACTATTAACGGCTCTGAACTCAAAAATGAATTAAAAGTTCTGCAAAAACTGATTTTTGTGGGACAAATTAAAAGTTATGACATAATTTATTTTTAAGTAAACTATATGCAGTTTGTTTCATTAGGGCTAAAAATCAAAAAACGGTCAAAATGACCGCTACGGGCGTTCTAGTGTTAATGTCCTCTTTGAAATTATAATCGATACAAAACTAGATAATCTTTGCTATGCATGTATATCACAGTGTAGTCTGATACTAAATAAAACTGAAATTCTGTTGGGTGTTGGTGTTTTGCATGGAGTCTGGGTGGCGATTTGCAGGGCTCTTATCGATATAATGCATATCAGCAAGATTTAATAGTGTCATAGATAAATGGTTTAAAAAGTTATATACTAGCAAGTATTCGATAATAAGGAAGAAGAAAAGTAGAGAGGAATACTGGTGGAATGGTGGTTATTTACAATGAACAGCCTTTTAACCATTTTTATTCGAAAAAGAGAGTATACAAAGCACAAGCGGCGGAGCCACAAGGATTGAGTAGGCTAAAGCCTACCCTAGATTGAATCTGGTGGGGCTAGGGTAGGCTCGAGCTCGCGTGCAGATTTTCAAAAGAAGCCCCAAACAGCATGTCAACAGATCACAGAAACGTTGCTGCTTTGTCGATGCGAAAATTCTGTTTTTCAGAATATCCTATCTATTAGAATACAGATCTAATAAAAACTACAATACTGATAAATAATTGTTTTCAATAGCTTTATAAAAAAAGTAAATTGGAGAAAAATTCGAGAGACACATCATGTATCGTGATTTTAGTACTCTATTCAATGATGTATTTTATGTCTCGTAGACGTAACAATGATGCTATTCGCGAAATAAACTTTGCTATTGTTGAGGAGTCTTTTCAAGGTCAAACAAGAGGATATTGTTCTACAGTTCATATTGAATAATTAAATTTTTTATCAGACCAAGTCCTCCTCTCGAACCTGCTTTTTCAAAAAAGAAAATTAAACCAATTCGACTTTCTGTCACTGAGATATAGAGCTTAATACTTTTTCCATTTCTTTTGTAACATTAGTTATTGCTTTAGAATAATTTTGTCAAAGTACTCTTTTCGTACTAGGTACCAAACCTAGTAGAGTTTGGTGAGCTGTGTCGAATGACGCCGCAACGAACTTTCTAGCTCCTACTTTCTAGCTTCGAGAAAAATGCAAATTACAGTGTCAAAAATGTCACAGCTTTACCTTTGGACAAGCTGTTACTAATGCAGATTTCAACTAAAAAAAATTCTACAGAGTAAAATCAGTTGATACAGGTGCTTTTTATCGCATATGAATGTTATCATATGAAAATTTACCACATGATTCAAAGAAAATTAAACAGTTACACAATGGACTTGAGCGACGTTTACGGCGTTCATTACAACAATTTTTAGGAAAACGTTTAAAATCTGGTTGTCGAAGACCTAGAGAATATCGTCATCATCTTCGAATCACAGGGAATAAATACAACTATTTAAAAATTGTTGGTATTACATCACAATTTATTCCACAAATGATATTCTTCACAAGTGTAAATGTCATAGTTAATTTAGTTTATGGGCAGCATAAAGATAGAGTATCTTATGTTAGTGATTTTGAATGTAAAGTTAGAAAAAATAATCCAACTCTACATGTGAAACAGAAGATGGTGAGAAAATAAAAGGTACTGGTGATTATCTTTTGCATATGAAAATACTTCGTGCTGAAAGAAATCGTCGATCAAATTGAACGTTAAATGATGTTGTTTTTCTAGTTTTCTTAACTGTTAGTATGTATTTGTTGTATTCATAATTCAAATTCAGTTCAATTCTAAATTGGACTAGTCATACTTCTAATCGAAATTATGGCTAGGCATACTTCAAAATTTTCCATTCAACAACGTGATAAAACCTATTAAGTAACAAAAGGAGTTCTTTTGGCATCTCGTGTGAGTAAAAAGAAGAGAAATATTATCATGGCCTTATAGCATACGCACAAAATGGACTGAAGTATGTTCATATAAATGTTAAAAGCATTTTCAGTAGTCAACTTTCATATTTTAATTATTTTATAAATCTAGAAACCATAATAAAGTTTAAAACTCCAAAAAATTGGAATATGAGCTAAATTAGAGAAAGGGTTTTCTAAAGACCCTCTAGAAAGCCAGGATCACCTAGTGCGTGAATATTGTCAAATAGACAACCCCTACGTTTGTTCAGTTTTAAATTCTCTATCGATTGACGTTTAAACCAACTTTATATCAACTACCCATCTTGAGTTATTTCAAATTTTAAAAAAATGGTTGAATAGTTGAAAAATCACGGTTCTCTAGGAAACGTATTTCCAAAGCTGTTGGAGAAAACTTTCTAGAGACAAAAAGAAAGAGCGCGTCAAGAAACCCTTATGAATCAGAGCACAGCTCTATACGTTCAGCCGTTCTTAAGATAGTTTTCTCATGGAACACGCCTATTACTTATTCAACAGTTAGACTAATCAATACTATTTACATTCATTGGTTATAAATAGTTCACTTGTTTTACAAATTATATAACAAACTCTCTCTCCTTAATCGTCAAGAGTATATAACTACAGTTAGGAACACGAGGTCCCTCCGCTGTAGCACGAATTCTCAAGCGGTAGAATTGCCTTTTACCATCTACGAGACAGTGAAATCCTCTTTTTTCTGGAGAACTTCTAAGGACTGGAATCCTCTATTAATGGAGTATATAATCTGGTTTCATTCGTGGTGTGTTTTTGTGTGGCGCAGAAATTTTAATTTGTTTTAATCTTTGTTGTACGTAAACAAACAAATGCTTACTTAAATTCTTATAATTCGTTTGCTGGAGCGGACGCTCGGTGTTTTTTAATCGGTATGTCTACGTTTTACATTTTTTTCTTATATCAATACCTATGCTACTATGAAAATGTGATTTTAAAAGTGAAATTCTTCTTATAACTCGAGTTCGGCGGGAGGATTCTACTCCTGCAGGATCGAGTCCAAAGGCGGGATAAAAATAGTCAATTCCATCAGTCTCTTTCTCTAACTCGGTTTTGAATATTATGAAAAGCTTGCATATGGTGTACTAATCGTAAAAAACTGTATTACTTTATACGAGCCTTCTAAAAAAATCGGAGAACATATATAGGAAATACAATCCGCAAGACTTTTCTCACAGATAGTTTTGTAAAAATAATAAAATAAAATATTTCGTGTTTTGTTTCGAGATCATCTTTCATTATAAGTTAAGGGTACCCCTCCCCCCTTTTTCGATTTTCCGTAGAAATGCTGTGAACTAAAAACTAAAAGTCGCTAGGGCTTCGTATTTTCAGAACTGATTCGAAACTCAATGAAGCATTTTTTCGTTTTTGTTTCAACTTTTTAACTATTGTCGTTCACCAGCTTTTCAGAAAACTTGGTTTTTCATTGTGCCGCATTACGACCCCCTTTAGATTTCATCCGATCGAGTTCAAAATTTTACCAGAGGTGCTCAAGGTCATTCCGCAGACGTCACTTTTGGGAAATGTTTTTGAGACCTTCCCTGGTATAGTTATAGGAAAAATACTGAAAAACGTTTCAAAAACCAAGTTTATCAACTTTAGAAACCCTACAAGTCGGTAAAGAAAAGTCTAAAATAAAATTCCAAAAAATTAGCACTGCAATAGTGTCTTGAGTACCTCTGGTAAAATTTTGAGCTCGATCGGATGAAATTTAAGAGGGGTCGTAATATGGCACAATGAAGCCGGGTAGGAAAAAAATAGTTTTCGAGAAAAACGCATTTTGTACACAGGTCACTTTTTTCAGGGTATTTGCCGCAATGCTTATGTCTCCACGAAAACTTACCGGAAAATTCTGGGAGACGTCTCATTATGAAGAAAACACCTTCTACCAGACTATGTGTAAGAAATAATTTTTGAGTGTACAGAAAAAGAGGGAAAAAGTTTATGAAACTTAAAGAATGTGCTTTTAAGGCTTTGAAGGAAACCTTCAGAAATGCATAACTTTTTGAAGAACGATCGTGCAGTGTTGGAAGTGGTCTCATTTTGTAGCCCACACATTTTTCTACATTTGGCTATGCTCAGCTCAAAATCCAAAATATTTTCAAAAATGAGGGGGAGGGTACCCTTAAAACGTTCTTTCGACAAAACAACTATAAGTTTTAAACGAAATATTTTCTGAAACGGAGAGACACCTGATCTTATAGAACAATCTGTGCGTCAGAAACTCAGTTGTCAGAAGAAGTTGGATAACGTTCTTTCCACCTATAAAATTCGGGAGAAAAGGAATGAAAAACCCTAAAAATTTACCCAAATGCTTAGAAAGCAGTCAATGTCATGCTGCCTTATAATTTGTCCGTAAAAGTATTCGAAGCTGCTTTTATCTCTTGACTTTCCCTCTCCTGTGTTCTAAAATCCTCTCGTCTGCTTTGCACTTTATTTGATTTTGATCAAAAACTGATTTTAAAAACGTTTTGATAACTGCTTTACACACACACATAAACGTATAGTGAGGTGTTTATACCAACGTAGACAATAAATAACACACGTATCCATTTGCTTCTTATAACAGTATCATAAGGAAAAACAAAAAAGAAAAAAGCCAACACAATATTCATGACTGTGGAGTGCACTCATGAGGAAAAACATTTCTCTTTTCACTACACACAGTTAATCTAGCGGCTTATACTAGATCAATACGAGCCCGTCATCATATTCCAGACAATTTAGAACAAGCATTTCGAAACGAAGTTCCAGGTTCTACACCTGATGCTGAAGTTGATGCTTTAGAAAGAAAACTTGAAGGAAAAGTATAACATGTTCTAAATGATTTGGATCAATAGATTAATGAAATAGAAAGCGCAATATTAAGCAAGAGACTAAAAATAAAACATTCATATCTCTTTCTGTTCTTTTACTTTTTACGGTTATTGCATCATCTCAATCTTATTTCAATATAACAATGGATTCTTTTCGTTCTTTATATTGGGCGATGGTTAGCTATACGGAACAGTTACTTCAGAATAAATGCTTTATTTGAACTGTGTAAACTTGTCTTCTTCTATTTTAGGTACTCATACTTCGAAATTTATATTCCGTTCTTTTCAACAGAACGGAATTTTCAACAATAACCACTGTCCGTGCCATCTGACTTCGCCTTTTTTTATATCTTGTTTGTTTTGAGGTCAAGAGACAGTTGACTCGAACAAAGGAATCTAGAAGCCAGTTTGGTTCTAATCAGAAACCCAACTACGAACTTAAACATATTTCTATCTGATCAGGCGTATACAAAAACTTCCTCAAAACGTTTAAAAGCCAGGATGTCGCGAAAACACGAAGTCCTACTTTCAGAAGTCCCAGCTCTATCAGTAGTTTTCTAGCAATTTTCTCATATCAATCTTTAGAGTCATAGAACCCAACAAAAGTTCATATTCTTATGAAAATATGACATCACTGGTTTACTTTCAACAAATAACTTAGAATTAGCACCGCTTTACTAGCAGAAGTGATATTCTTTAACAAATGATGTAGTAGAACGGATCACACGACAATCTAAATCTAGCTTTGCGAAAATGAATTAATATACATTTCATTCAGCTCAGCTCGACAGATTACTTGTTAACATAAAACACTCAAAATTTGTTTTACTCTGAAATTTTCAAACTGTGAACGAAGATATCAAGTTTTTAATTTTACTTTTCGAGCGATACGAGCGATACATCACAATTTATTCCACAAATGATATTCTTCACAAGTGTAAATGTCATAGTTAATTTAGTTTATGGGCAGCATAAAGATAGAGTATCTTATGTTAGTGATTTTG